TATGAGCAATTACCACGTCAAAAATGCACTAAATCACCAGTTTCCACTTTTAAAACACTATTAAAACGTTTCCGGTTATTATTTTATGCAAACCAAATCATTTATTCACTTTTATTTTATATATTTCGTTAATAAAACAGAGTAAACAAACTTTGCGCCTGCTAAAATTATTATAACCTCAAATCGCTGGTATTGCCACTTTGTTTTCACATTTCATTTGCGCTATTATACTCAGTTTACACTATACACTTCCTCTTCTTTTTACTTTCGTCTAAATAAGATATTGTTACCAAAATATAATAGCAAATTTCGCTATACCATCGCGCGGTTTTTTATTAAAAATTTTCATTATTTATCGAGGCGCTTTTTCCATAAAAATCAATACTTCGATAAATAATGAAAATTTTTAATAAAAAATCGCGCGATGGTATAGCGAAATTTGCTATTATATTTTGGTTACAATATCTTATTTAGATGAAAGTAAAAAGAAGAGGAAGTGTATAGTGTAAACTGAGTATAATAGCGCAAATGAAATGTGAAAACAAAGTGGCAATACCAGCGATTTGAGGTTATAATAATTTTAGCAGGCGCAAAGTTTGTTTACTCTGTTTTATTAACGAAATATATAAAATAAAAGTGAATAAATGATTTGGTTTACATAAAATAATAACCGGAAACGTTTTATAGTGTTTTAAAAGTGGAAACTGGTGATTTAGTGCATTTTTGACGTGGTAATTGCTCATAGAAAACAACGAAATTTAACAAAAGTGTTTTGTTCATAACTTTTAAATGGTTAATAATATTATCTCCCCCCCCCCTCCGGATTGTTATTAGGGGGCCGAAACGCGTCGTTTGGCACCCCTCCCTACTTTTCCGCACCTTTTTTAGGGGTTGTTACCCCACCCTAGAGAATTACCATTGAATTAAATTGCTGCAATACACATCCACTAAGCTCAATTAAAGAAAGACGCTGATGAATGTGTAGAGTTGTGTGCGAGCTAGTAGATCAAGCAGTTCCAATAGTATCCAAAGTATATAATAGAAGGCTAGTTTTAAAGAGGCACTGAACAAGCAATCCAATTAACGAAAAATGAGAAGCAGTGACATCACGGCGGAGCCTTTTCACTTCACACCACCACAGAAACTTCAACTTCCACCTGTAGTCTTCACAGTTTTTTCACCACCCCTTTAGCAGGGTTTAAAAGGAATACTCTTCTTGCTTTCACAATTTTTTTTTTTATTGAGAAGTATAGGCGGCATTCGTCGTTTGTCTTCGTAGCGTATGGACGTGTGAGAAGCTGCAGCGGAATTTTGGAAGTGTTGCTGAAGAGTGGTGGCAGTTATCAATTTATCTGGTGTTCGACGCATAATATTAGTTTGATTTTATTAAAGTTATAGTTGCTGATTAAAGTTGTTAAATACTATATAGGCACATTATTGTACACCTGAGTAGAGGTGTGTGAGCTCAAATTGTCGTTTTATATCGGGTGAGTGCTTTTTCTGTGGCTGAAAATTTTTTCTAAATTATAAGTAGCGGTTGTTTCATACACAAAATGGCGGACGCCTCGGCGTCGC